CAAACCTGTCATTTAAATATAGGCATTCTAACTTGGTATTATGGTGGCAGGATTGAGAATTTATTGGGACTTTCACAAGACATGAATGCATTTGAAACGACTATTGGTGATAAACATGAGCCAGTGAATGTTGAGAATGGAGTTGAATGCCTGACTTTTAAAGAGGGTGGATCAAGTTAGAGAAGCAAGTGTAGTGATTTAGAGAGTTAGGGAACATTGATGGGCAAGATGAATTGTATAAAATGGGCAGGAGTGTTTGTAGGAGTGGGCCAATATATTCCACATACTGTTGCCTTTAGGGAAGCTGTGTACAGGTTTAGTATTGTAGAGAAGTTTGCAGCGAGATATGTCAGGGATAGTAAGGAAAAGATGAATGTGAGGTGTAAAGTAGAAAGGTGTTCTTGGAAGATATGAGTAAATGCTGTTGGGAAGAACAGTCATCTATTACGTGTGATAATATTTTGCAATGAGTACATTCATTCAGTGCAAGACAATATGGTTGTGACTTATGGTGGGAGTGGTGCGTTGACATCATCAATAATAGTTGAAGAGATAAGGGACCATGCTAAAACGACCTACTGAGATAAGGAAGATGTTAGAGAGGGAGTATGGTATGAGGCTTGCCTATTGTCAGGCCTATAAAGCAAAGGAAAAGGCAATGGAAGAAATACATAGAAAACCGGAACAGTCCTATATGTTAATACTATGGTTATGTGAAAGATTGAAGAAAACTGGTGACAAAATGATTGCTGAATAGGCCTATTGGTAATAAATTTGAGCGTGTTTTCATTGCATATGGTGCATGTGTTGAGGGTTTTTTGAACTATGCAAGACCTATTTTATACGTTGATGGTACTCATGTAAGTGGTCCATATAAGGGGATGTTATTGTCAGTTTCGACATATGATGCGGATAATGAGATATTGTTGTTTGCAATAGTAGTGGTGAAGGGAGAGAATCTCGAGGACTAGACGTGGTTTTTTCACAAGATTAAACAAAATAGTTGGTTCAATGCAATTGACTATTATGTCAGATAGATATAATTTCATAATTGGATCTGTGCAAGCAATATTTGGGTGTGAAAGGTATGCATACTGTTATAGGTATGTGAAGGAAAACTTTAGTTCTAAATATATGAAATTAAACAGAGGTCGGACAAGAAGAACTAAAAATTCAAAGGAAGATACATTGAAGGTACTGGATAAAGTGGCTTATGTAGACTTACGGATGAGTTTGATCACACCTTGGATGATCTTAGAACCATATCTCATGAGTTATATGAGTGGGTTATCAAGTAAGGTGATGTGGATAGATGGGCATTGAGCAAGTTCCCATATTGAAGGTGGGACAACATAACAACTAATTTAGTTAAATCTTTTAATGCTTGGATGGTAAGGGAGAGGAAGCATAACGTGGCCCAAATGATCTATGAGCACCGGGAGAAAGTAGCAAGGAAGATGCATGCATCATATGTGGCAATGACTAAGTAGAAAAATTACGTTGGGCCAAAAATAAAGGCAAAAGTGTTGGAGCATGTGCATTTTAGCAGGTATATGCACTATGAGAATTATGGAGGAGGAAGAATATGCATGTACACATCATGTGGAGACCAAAGAGTGGATCTTGGCCTACACCAATGCAACTGTGGAGCTTGGCAAATGTCAGGGATTCCATGCTCACATGCTTATGCAGCCATTAAGACCATAGGGGGAAATGTATATAATTATGTTGAAGAATGTTAGAAACGTTCATCCCAAGAGAAAATCTATACTCGAAGCATGGTTCCAGTAGTGACAATTGATATGTCTGACCTGAATAGCTATAGGTTTGAGAATCTTGCTACCAAAACCTTACGTTTACCCCCAGTCACTACTAGGCCTCCCGGAAGACCAAGAACAAACAGAAAAGAATCATAATTACAGAACAAAAAATATATCATTGACTAGATGTCACCAACCTGGACATACAAAGAGGACTTGCAAAAATCCTAACTGAAGTTTATCTCAACTTACAAATGGGACAACTAAGTTTTTCACCATATATAGGGTCCACCCTTCTTAATTTTTTTGGGAGCAGGGTGTTGGTAGATGTGGACATATATTTTTGTTAGTTCTATGTTTGATGACAAAGGGACATTAAGTAGAAGATGCAAGTTAATGTGCACTTGTCATTAAATGTTGTTAAAAAACTTGTTGCTATGAAAGAAACTTGAACTTGTCATTTACTATTTACCAGAAGTGGTTACTGTCAAAATTATATGAAAACGTTATGGGATCTTGTCATTTTACATATGTAAGTTGTCATTCACTATTGTGGACTTGTAATTTCATGTTTATCAGAAGTAGTTGCTATTAGAAATGTGCAAATTGTAATTCCAGTAGAAAAAGTATGAAAATGTATGAAAACCTTATGGGAACTTGTCATTTGCCATAGTTAGCTTGTCATTTTCTGTTGTCAAGTTGTAATTTCATGTTCATCAGAAGTGGCTGTTGTCATAAATGTACAAAGTGTAATTCCAGGCAAAAAAAGTATGAAAATGTATGAAAACCTTATGGAAACTTGTCATTTGTCACAGTGAACTTGTCATATTCTATTGTCAAGTTGTAATTTCATGTTTATTAGAAGTAGTTGCTGTCAGAATTGTGCAAAGTGTAATTCCAACAGAAAAAGTATGAAAATATATGAAAACCTTATGGGAACTTGTCATTTGCCATAGTAAACTTGTCATTTTCTATTGTCAAGTTGTAATTTCATTTTATTAGAAGTGAAAATCTAGTCATTTCAACAGAGAAATTTACAAATGTATGGAAACCTGATGGGAACTAGTCATTTGCCATTATGAACTTGTCATTTTCCGTTGTCAAGTTGTAATTTCATGTTTATCAGAAATGGTTGCTGTTAGAAATGTGCAAAGTGTAATTCCAGCAGAAAAAGTATGAAATTGTATGAAAACGTTATAGGAGCTTGTCATTTACCAAACTGAACTTGTCATTTTTCATTGTGGACTTGTCATTTTGTGTTTATCAGAAGTGGAAATCCAGTCATTTTAATAGAGAAATTTACAAATGTATGGAAACCTGATGGAAACTAGTCATTTGCCATTGTGAACTTGTTATTTTCTATTATCAAATTGTCATTCAGTGAATCAATGTGCAAATTCAGCCATTTTTAATAGAAAATATGAAATTTGTATGAAAACCTTATCACAAGTTATCATAGCCCATAGTTAATTTGTTGTTAGAGTTAGTAAACTTGTGATTGGCCTGATTAAAAGGAAATTTGTCATTCTAAATGTAAGTACTGTTATAGCATCAATCCAACCATATCATAACCATTATAATAATTGGCATACAATTTCAATAAATGAATCTATGGACAAAGTTAGTAAAAGTCACACAACCTAATTTAAATGCTCTCTACAAAGACTTTTTCCTTTTCTTAGTTATTCGGCCCTTTTCTAGTTGTGAGATAAGATCGTACGCATTCTAATGGCATTCATTGTCATTATGGCTTACTAGCCACCGCATCAGCTCACACCGAAAAGAGGACACATTAGCCTGTATAACAAGTTTATTACCCAACAAGTCACAGATGGTCATTATTGATTGCATAATAAATAAGGTCATGTCATTACCTCATTGTATTGAAGGGGAACATCAGGCTCCTATTTCCTGAGCCATATGAGCACATGCACGCTGCAGTCCCTCTTGCTCACAAACACAACCCTAACAGTGTCAGCTCCTCAAACCAACACAACCAAACAATATATCACATGAATAGGGTGTATAAACTCACAAATTATTCTGCTATGGTATATCATGCCACCATTTCTAACTTATCAATCAAATCTGGTCTAACCATCCGAAGTACGTCTTCGAATCAATCCCTCTGCACATATGTCATATTCATCAAAAGGATAATAATATAAAACTGTCATTTTCCTATCTAACATGAACAGGTCAAGAGCATCTTACACAGCCTGTGATGGCCAATTCTTGAGGGTCATGTATGGCTGCCTTCTTCTGCTTGAAGGTGGTTTTCTTACGCTCTAAACTTGCTTGCACAGAATCAAGGACATTGAATTTCTGGGTCTTCGGTTTGAAAGCAAAGCAGAACCAATGCTCCCCAACTAGACCAGGACCCAGAACCAAGTCGCAGTCACCTATATTGTAGCCAACGTAATGCAAAAGTATTTGTCGTGTATGCTGGTTAGGATCCTAACGAGCTGGATCACGGATCATTATGGCTTGTCAAATGCACAAAACGAAGTTGTTATTCACTGTAACACACTTTGGTCTGTCATTTCCATTGCAAACTTGTAAATCAACAAAGTATATTAGTAATACAAAAACCTCACCATGAAGTCTACATCAAATATATGCCTCCTAACGCGTCCTTCAATTGCCTGTTGCTCTTGCAACAAAGCCTTACAGACCAATGACATCACTCGATTACTCACCCTATTATTTTCACCAAGCGAATGTAGCAATCATCAAGGGATGTCTTTATCAAACATTCTAATTAAAGGACTGAAACTTATTCACATGAGTTACCAGATGTGTTATGTTAACATGTAGTCAATAAATAACATCACATAAGCTAGGATTTTCACTTACATCTCCCCTCATCACTTTTGACAGTTTGACTGACTAAGGTGAAAAAAATATCCTTAGGCTCCATAGGCCTCTTCACTCTTGCTTGTGCCTTCAACTCCAACTAAGGAGACTTGATCTTGCTGAACTGAACCCTACTAGATCTCCTTAGTTGTTGTGGCCCCACAGATACAGGTTTTGGATCAGGCTCAACATATTCAACAATGGCCGGGGGATACCTCCATCAATATGTCACCCTTTGCATCATCACCTTCAATGCTGGGTGACACTTCTCTAAGGGAACTGGTTGCAGGTATGTCACCCACCCCATCATAATCTTCAACATTGAATGGCATTTTCATGGAGAAAATAGTTGTGGGTATTGTACTCTCTATTACATATATTTGCTTATACATCACCCTCTCCATCACCCTTGTGTTTCCTGTCCCCTTCACTCATGTCATCACCATCCCCTTGACCCTCTTCGTCCTTCCCTTCATTCTTGCTATGATTCTCCTTGTCACCCTCCCTGTCATCTTTCCCATGATTATCTTCATTTTCACTACCTCCTTCATCCTTCTCCTTTTCTTCAATTGTGTCATCACTGTTGCGCTTATCCTTCTCATCATCTTTAGACTCACTAATATTTGTAAGCACTATCTCAACTTGAGCCTTTCCTCTTGACTTACCCTTCCCACCATCTCCCTATTTTGGGATCTATACCTTTACCAGCTCCTCATCTACCATTCTCATCAGCATCTTTTGCCCTTCCTCTATCCTCTTCATTAGGCACTCGCGTAACTTCTTCAGGTCCTGCATGCAAAAGATATTTATCAATTAAGTATATAGAATAATAAGTTCAATATAAGAGATGACAAGTTCATTATAGGAGATGACATCTTCAGTATACGAAATCACAACTCAGGTATGCCAAATGACAAGTTGACTATAGCGAATGACAACTTCTGTTAACCAAATAACAAGTGAGGTATGGCAAATGACAGGTTCACTATGGCAAATGACAAGTTCATTATATGGAATGAAAATTTCAGTAAACCAAATCACAACTTACATATGACAGATGACAAATTCACTATAGGGAGTGACATTTAGTATACAAAATCACAACTCAGGTATGCCAAATGACAAGTTCACTATGGGAAATGACAAGTTCACTTTGGCAAATGACAAGTTCAGTAAACCAAATTACAACAGGTATGGCAACTGGTAGGTTCACTATGGCAAATGACAGGTTCACAATTTCAATATACCGAATGACAAGTTCAATATGGCGAATCACAACATAAGTTTAACGAATAACAACTTAAGTTTGTCAAATTACGGCTTAACAATGACAAAGTTCTATTTTACTATAGCGAATCACAACTTCAGTTTAGAAAATGACAACATAACTATGGCAAATAAGAAGTTCAGGTTACTGAGTAAAAACTTCAGCTTACCAATTATATCACATACCAGGTCCAAAAACTCTATAATTATCCTTTCTTGTTTTCCCTTTACAACTTTACTATCTTTTTCTCTGTACATAATTCTCCTAACACTCTTCTTCTCCTTACTGGCCAATTCTTTTATCTTCTCATCAGTTTAGTATTCAATTGCAGTAGTGGACTCTCGGCCAATGGGTGTGTTGAGGTTAAAATGCTCACACAAAAAAACTACAAGCCAGCCACATATATACAACATTAATGTTATGCACATCGATAATCAAATGCAAACAGAATGAGAAACAAAATAGTCGTACCAGAACCAAGTATATGCAGCCATCAACAGTGTTGCTCCCTTGCCTTTCATTGCCCTACCTATACGCTTTGACATAGTCTCCCATTTCTTTCTAGAGGTCCTTTATAATATAGGTAGCCCAATCATACTTTCCAAATTCATCCAATATGCAATTTGTGACTCTGATCAACTTCTCACTCACTTCTGAGCTTGATTTTGGACATAGCAGAGTACCCAGTGTGTATAGCACAAATCTATCATCCTCCTCCCCTGAAACAATATCTTTTAGTGTTTTGCTGAATGACACTTTCCGATATTCATTTCTCAACTCCTTGTACATAGCATCACCATCATCAACTTCAATTTTCACCTCCTCCATACCGTGATGGATTCCTAAGAGCTACTCAACATCTTATACTCCTATTTTCTCTGATTTGCCCCTGATTGTAAATTGATGTGTTGGTGAGTCATATGATCCCAATATTGTCACAATGAGATCACGGGATAGTCTCTTTAATCCAACCTTCAACAGCCTCCCAAAGCCTATCCTCTCAACCCTCTCCCTTAAGTCTTCATTATTATTCACAGAGTGCAGTAATTTTCTTAAACCCTTCAAGGACACTCGGGTTAGAAATGATAGAACATGTTTCTTTTTCTCCTCTTCTTCCTTTTGTGGCCTTGTTTTCTTCACCTCCTCAGTGTACTTCATCTTCTCTTTAGCGGACAGAGCTTTCCATGCACTTGACGTAGCATCTTTTTTTTTGTTTGGCTGTCATGTTAAGGTTCGCTATTGTGGTCATAAACTCACTTTTGAATAATAACCAACCATTGTGTGCCTTTCTCAATCCAGAGGCTCCTTCTAATGCCATTTTCTTTTTCCTGCAAAATATTCAACATACAATCCTTCACAACCACATTTACTGACTAACTATCACCCTTGTTGACAATTTATTCTTCAACCAACAACCTTCTTACATCATCACTATTGACTTCTTATTTCGAAACATGAACTTGTAATTTCATATAAGCAAGTTGTTAATTGCTCAAACTAAACTTGTTATTCTCAACTACTTGTCATGCTTGTTATTTCTAATCATTAACTTGTCATTTACAATTATCAACTAGTTATTTCAGATTATAAAGTTTTTCAATTGTCATACTCGTCTTTGTTATTCCCAACTTGTTATTGTCATTTTTAAACTTGTCATTTCCTATTATTAACTTGTTAGGACCCCATGACAACCTTCTTATTCCCAACTACTCAATAACTTGTTATTCACTATATTAAACTTGTTATTTCCTATTACCAATTCGTCAATTACACAATTGTTATTTACATTATCAACTTGTCAATCCCCCTACTTCCATATTGTCATTTTAAACCAGAAGACAAACACTTTAACGTATCTTCAAATCAATTTACACTTAACCAATTCAATTTTCACTTTATCCATTCCCGTGTCGTCATTTCCTAAACTAATCTTGTCATCCTCCTAACTCATCTTCTCATTCCCTTCCCACCCAAACCCATTTGCACATCTTCCTCCACAAATAAGCATTTTTCGCCAATCAATCACAACTTATTTGACAGAAAAACATATATATATATACTTTCCTGCCTAAACGCATTCCCTCTTCTTAATGTATCAACATGCAACAACCAACACAAACAAACCAAAGCTTCAAACTTACCACCAAATTTTGTCGCCGAATGCCATTAACTCTGATAACCGCACACGACTATGACAATGCCTCTACCTCCTCCCCTACCTTCAACAATGCCGACAGATCACTACTCAATCATTGCTCCGTTCGCCTCTCCCACAGCAAATACAATCTTTTCTCACATAATACTCCTCTCGCCGATACTGTTACTAGAAAATGGAAGCAACCTCCTGCGTGAAAATAGACAGAGTGCAGAGAATGGAGAGACTAGACAGAGTAGAGAGAGGGAAGTTATTGCAAGTTGGGAGAAAGAGTGCTGACAAGTTTTTTTTTTTTCCCCTAAATAAATGAGGGGCATTTCAGACATTTAACATATATTTCATATTTGCACTAAAGCTATTTTCTAAATTCAGGATCCCTAATCGCAATTTTATATATTAGGGTTCTTTATTTGGAATTTCTCTTTTTTTATCGACAAGGTGATTCTTAAATTTTTCAAAAATAGCTAAAACAAACTGCCCTAGTACTATCGTTATATTATCTCCAATGTTTAGGAGGCCGTCTGGGCATTTCATCTTTCAACGTCAATTTAGGTCAACTTTTCACTGAAAACACGACCTTGCGGCGAAGCACCTTTTCGGAAAACTTGTCAACCATTCGCATGCTTGCCGTGTGTCTGTAATTAATTGGTTAGCGTTGCAGATAAATAACACGACTCGCTCAAGTACCTTTTTTCAACAGTTCTACCACTTTATGTGATCCTTTTTTTCATCATTCCAACCGCCAGACTGAACGCAACCTCAATTTCAATGCATATGCGGTGTTATTGGTTAGCAAATGGATCAAACATCGCTCAAACCCAATGTCTGGTCAAAATATTTCAAGCTCAAAATGGCGAACTTGGCTACAAAGTCGGCATGTATATGGACAGAGAGCTAGGCAAACTTGTCACCATTTCTACAAAAATTTAACTTTAATTGAATTAATTTCCCACGTCAGGTTTGCTATTAACTTCAAGAGGCCGAAGACCTAACCCAATGGCAGCAGGCCAGCCGAACGGCTAAAATCAGCCCGACTGGAGCAGAACTTCGATTCTAGATTATGCAATGAATTAGCAAGGCCAAAATCTGCAAAACCTTCATCTTATTCAGCCAGGTCATCGGAATGAATTCTCTCATACAAGCTATATATTAGTGGTGACTTGGACATCTGCGGTTCCCTTTCCAGGGCTGCAATCACATCTTTAACAGAGATGCTACGAATTACCCGAGTTTGAGGTGCAATGGCCTGATTTCTCCCAGGTTTTTGAGCGATTCCTGTTAGAACAACAGCATTCAAGTAGAACAGCAGTTAAGAAATAGCACGACATCTAAATCAGAGAGCAGCTGTACATGCTTATGCGAACCTAACAACGAGAGACCAATTGTATTGGAGAGATTAGGACCACTTTTTACATGTTGATAACTTAGTATTACTTTGTCATTTGACTAAAAAATAGAGGAAGTGGCACACATGACCGAATAATCAGTTTGAATGGAACCTACCAGAAGTTGCAAAAGATGCTGAAACTCTTTTCTCCCCATCTGGATTATCCTTTGTACTTCTTCCAGATGAAGATGGAGACTTGCGACTCACATCCTTAGCAGGTTGAGAACTAGATGATCCATCTGCCACACCTTCACGTTTTTGACGAGCTTGCTCCGCCATGAGTTGCCATTTTGACAGCATGTCATCTCCCCCAACAGCAGCTCGAGCAGCAACATTTGCAGCATTTGTCCTCATCTTGTCATCCTCTTCTTTATTTACCTACAACGTGCCATAAATAAAGCAAAAGATTTCTTCTACGGTCTATGGAATAATATAATACAAAACAAAGAGGTATGAATACCTTTGTTGATTTATTACGACTTTCATCCTTATCCTTGTCCCCATCAACCCCAGGATTACTCTCTGCCTGTACAAAATTTAATTGACAAGAAAACATGTTTCAGATGCAGATACCTCATTCGAAACATTAGCATGTTATGGGAAAAATTCATGGATACATCTACTATCATGTCAGTGTGAGCCGTCTTGAAGAAGCTACTTAAACGAGACAAAAATGTCTTCAACAGGTGGAACTCACTTCATTAAGTTTACGAATCTTCTCTGCTTCTGCCTGTTTCTTCTCCCATTCTTCCCTTGCTTTCTTATTTATTGACATGATTTGTTGCCGAACATCTGAGGTGACAATAACCCGGTGCCTGGTCTTCTCAAAATCCACTCGCTGATGGGAAGTTGATTGAGCATAAGAAACTGCTCATATTGATGAAAGACAGATCATGCAGGCAGTAACGAGACAACTGACCTGTTTTGAAAGTCTGATCAGGCTACTTATCAATCCACGCATTCTTTCCTCCACACACTGAACATTTACTATCAGTCATGAGTTTACATGCAAAACTACCACAACGTTAATTGAAAATCTGATCTTATCTCACCAGAGACAAGCATTTCTCTACATCATTGCTCACACCCTTCAAACCACATTTGACCACTGCCACAGTGACAACAAAAAGAAGCATAAGGCTACATATATACACAAAGAATCTTAAACTTATGGACAACATTAAACAATAAAAAGACTAACTAATATCCATCAATTTGCTCTGCAATGGAGCTTTCTGCAAAATAAGTCTGTCTTCTTCTTCTTGCACAGCTCTTCGAGATGCTTCTGAAATTCGACTGTCCTCTTTTGACCCTGAAAATAACTGTTCCTCCTCCTCCTGTAAAACAGAAAAATATAGGAACAGTAGAGCTTTAACAATAGAAGAAAAACAATCCCTAATCTAGAATTATTCGCCCAAGATCAATGACTAAGTACCATACCCTAAGATCAACTCCACTAACAGCCGTAACATCATTAAGCTGTTCAATGCTTTGTTCCAGAGAAGCCCCAGATACTTTCTGTTTCTTACTGTAGGATAATGGGTAGATTGTGTCAAGAGTAAAATAAACTAGTCCAAAAGCTAGTCAATCATGGTTCATTAGAATAAGACAAATGACCTTGGAGGAGGAGGTGAGGAACCAAGTCCTTCAAGTGGTTTCTTCTGGCCAACAGTAGGCTTCTTCAGAGGACCCCTTGCAATAATCCCAGAAGGGTTTGAGGGAATCTGAGAGCTTGACTGACAAAATACAAAACGAACACATAAATAGGCATCATTAAGCATAAAGGATCAATATATATTATGAGAAGTGCTCTGTACACAAAATGCCATTTCCTTTAGTATATTATATTGTAAGATGGTAATGCTTGAAAAAGCAGAAGCCTAAAGATACATGAAAAGAAACAACTGTATGCATTGTTATTCTAGGTAGCAACCTGTAATACATCTTTAAGTCAAAGACTCACAGCTACTCCATTAACCGACATCAATTGAAAAACATCCATTGCCCATTACAACATTACAAGAAAAAGACAGATTACATACAAAAGTTTGATTGTTCCTAACCACAGATAAAATTTTGCAGAGCAGGAGACCTAGTATTAAAAAGGCTTGAGTAAGGTTTCTTCGTTGGATTGAGAATGGGTGTAAAACCTAAGTTTTATGCCTGTATGTTAAGTCATGACCACTATCCAACGGATAGGTGTAATATGAGTCAAATTGATGGACACTTGTGGCTGATATGGTGCCAGCAAGATTGATGATACCAGATTGATGGCGACTGAAGAAAAATCAAGAAAAAAGAAAGAATGAAGATTCTCAAGTAAACTAGAACATTGTGCGCCAATGTTTGAAACACCGAAACAGTTCAAAAGACATCATTTCTACTTGTGAAACCTTACTCCCGGTGAGTATTCATATCTTTACATTTAATTTCCATTGCACCCCAAAACTAAAATACAAACAAACGTGATGCAAATCCATATTTTAGCTATTTTTAGGACAATATTATGAGATGCGTGCAATATGCAAATTGCAAAATGTATGCAGGCAAAGTCTGACAGAAAACATCAAACCCAAAAGTATTATGTAAGAAAAAAAAATTCATGCATCAGGACATCGTATACAATAACGCATAAAAACACATATAATGCCAATGAGGTTACCGGGACACCTGGTTCCATCTGAGCAACCATTGAAGGGGGAGCAGAATTGGAATGCAACAAACTTGAAGTAGTTGTAGGTGGCACATTTGCAGATGCTGGAAGACCTCTTGAAAACTCATCCTTTGAAGTTCCTTGATTTCCACTTCCCTGTTCAATCTGAGCAGTGCCAAC